AAGAGTTGTGGTCAACGGCTCAATGTCCAAGTGGAGACCAGTGATGAGTGGCGTTCCTCAGGGGTCGGTACTAGGACCGCTGCTGTTTAACATATTTGTTGGTGACGTGGACAGTGGGATCGAGTGCACCCTCAGCAAGTTTGCTAATGACACCAAGCTGTGTGGTGGGTTGACACGCTGGAGGGAAGGGATGCTGTCCAGAGGGACCTGGACAGGCTGGAGAGGTGGGCCCGTGCGAACCGCATGAAGTTCAACCAGGCCAAGTGCAAGGTCCTGCATGTGGGTCAGGGCAATCCCAAGCACAACTACAGTCTAGGCAGAGAATGGATGGAGAGCAGCCCTGAGGAGAAGGACTTGTGGGGGTTGGGGGACAAGATGCTCAATCTTCAACCACTTAGGCACCAGCCACATTGCCTTCCCTCTGCCTGGCTGCTGCCAGGCTGCCCTCCATTCTTCCTGCTCCCACTTAGAACCTGGCCAGGAAAGTACTTAAATAACAAGAGGGTGTTAAGCAAGCTTCATGTGAAACACTGCTTTCTTTTTTTTTCTTTTTCTTTTCTCCCAGTTAATCCAGTTTGGAAGGTCATGTCCAGCCAAAGGCTGCGAGTGGATGGGACAAAGAGCTGAAAGAATCTTTTCCCCTTTGTTTTTACATTTAATTTGAAGGGGGAAAGGGAAAAGCAGATTTTCCTTCTTCTCCCATACCTCCCAGTTTTTCAGCCTGGCTGCACCCAGAATTATATGGTCCCCCCAAACTTTGCACATGAGGACTTGTGTTGCCTGTGCCCATCACGGGGAGGAACAGGAACTGCACACCTCCTGCTATTCCCACCTAACCCAGCCAGCACTGTAAACCTAAAAAATAACCTGAGCTCCATCTTGACAGAAACTGGACTGGCATCAAACCCAAGGGAGAGGATTAATCCCCTCCCAGCTGCTGGCGTTGCAGGAGGTTGGGATAGGCACTAGAGGGAGGCAAGCTGACAGCCACCAAAGCCAAGAGGCACTTGCGCTTCTCAGCATCGCTGAGTGCAGAGAGGGATGGGAGAGGAGCAGTGAGGTTTAACTCCTGTTTCGTATCACCAAGGAAGCACCCAGCAGCACGGGATGCACTCACAAGATCTTAGTGATCCTGCTCTGGGGGGTAGAGGCACCATGTTTGCCCCATTTGAGGACTACAGCTGCCCTTTCTACTCTTGGGTGAATCCGCAGTGTACAAAAAAGGAGTCACTTGGTATTATGCAGAAAGGGGAGGACATGAAAACATGAAAAACATAGCCTGCTTGGCAGAAATTAGCATAGGGTATATGGTGTCAGATGCTCAGGGACCTTTCCTAAGAGCAGAGCTGCCAGTTAGCCATGACTTCACCATCACCAGGAAAGAATTTGCAAATTAACCCCCCCTAAGTTGCTCATTTTAGTAGAGGGAAGCCCTATGTACTCATCAAAAGAGCAGCCTGCTTTGGCACAGATGAGCAGCTCATTAGACCCTGCTGTCTTGGACCCATGGCAGCAACGAAGGTGCCACAGCTGGAAATGCTCATGCCAGGGCAGGCTCCCTCTGCAAAACACACTTCTCATTTGACTCAGCTTCTCTTCCCACTAATGCAGACAGGTCCCTAAGGGCATATCGTTCTTGAAGGATTTATTCAGGCAGCTTTTCGGATGCTGCAGTAGGCTTTTCCCATTCAGGTGCAGACTTGGATGTGGTATTTCAAGGTGCTTTTGGTCCAGCGTGGTTGTGGCTGAAAGCATACACTTGCTCTACAACTTAGCAGCCCGTGGATGTTTTTAACCTCCTTCCCTCATAATATGCAAAACCCTATGGCAGTTTGCAGCTGAATTGGAAGTTTCCTAGGAGCACAAAGATTGCTAAATGCCACAATTCTCTACTGTGGCAAGGGATGACACCCTCTCCCTTGACCCAGGATCTTGCATGCCTGGTGTCTGGAGGTGCATCAGGCCTTGGAGAAGGAGTGATGATTTGCATGAGGATCAGCCCAGCACAACATACAGGCCTGGCTGGAAAGAGACATCACACAACTCAGGCAAGTCCCAAAATGCTCAGTGAGTCTTCCCAGGAGTCCACCCTGAAGGGCAGAGAGGGGCTGCCGTGCTTCCCTGCAGAAGGACCATGTAGCACCTGCAAGACACAGGTCTGAGCTTGGTCCCAGTGGACTCCCTGTGATCCTAAGCATGGAATCACCAAATCAATGTGGTTAGAAAGAACTTCTGGAGATCATCCAGTTCATCCCACCTACTCAAAGCAGGGCCAGCTACAGCAGGTTGCCCAGGACCATGTCCAGTCCATTTTTGAATACGTCCAGGGATGGAGACTCCACAACCTCTCTAAGCAACCTGTGCCAGTGTTTGGCCCACCCTCACAGTCAAAAAGTTTTTTCTCATGTTTAAATGGAATTTCCTGTTTTTTAATTTGTGCTCACTGTCTCTTGTCCTGTCAGTGGACACCACTGAGAAGTCTGACGCTGTCTTCTTCATTCCCTACCATTGGGTATTTTTGCACATTGATAAGATGCTCCTGAGCCTTCTCTTCTCCAGACTGAAGTGTCCTGGCTCTCTCAGCCTCTCCTCATGTCAGATGCTCCAGTCCCTTAACGATCTTCATGGCCTTTCGCTGCACTAGCACAAGGGAAGGCAGCATTGTCTCCTTGCTCCAACGCTGTGGAGCTGATGCCATTAGGATAAGACTCATCCGTGGGTCAGTCTCCCCAGCAAAACCTGCTGAGAAGGTTTCCCAAATCCCTTAGACTTATACATCTTGGCCCCGATCTAGACAGCGTGGCCTTCGCAGGGATGACATTCCTGGGGTGCTCTGCCTGTACTGAGGTCGGAGCAAGCGACCAAGGCACTGCTTCAGCAAGGCTGCAATGTCCCCAGGACTGCACGGAGCACCATGGGGCCCCGGTCGGTGATGCAGCACCTTCAGGGTGCAAAGCGCACTCATGCCCGTACGCAGAGGTGGGTGATGAACTAGAGAGACCAGCAGGAACTAGGTCAAAAAACGCCAAGAAAAGCACTGAATTTAGTTTCCCTTTTCCTGCAGACAGAGCTGAAAGAGACAAAGAGCTATTTCTGCAGCCAGACTGAATTACAGGGCCTGGGGTTTGTATGTGCAAGGGGAGGAGACAAGCAAAGATGCTCTGATAGAAGGTCATCACCTTGGTTTCCTCCCCTCCCTCCCGTGCAGGAGACAGAAACCAGGTGAGCAATAACATTTACCCAGGCGGGCACTTCTGCAAAAAGCAAACAACACGTCACCCTCCCAGCACCATGATCCCGAGAGAAGAGGGGAGCACACAAACGCACACACCCACACACCGCCTGGGGACCTTTTGGGTTCAGACATGAACCACAGAACCAGCTCAAACTGCCCCGTGGCACCCAAGACTTCAGCAAACAGTGAGTCCATCCTGTCCTTCACCTCACCACAGCCCAGGTCATGGCTGCTACTAGCATGGACACAGTAAGGAATAGGGAGGAACAGCCAAAAGCTATGGCTGCAGGGAAGCTATGGCTTCCATGTGTCGCTCTTAACTCTATCTTGGCCAAGACAGCCATCCATGCCTCTTTATCCCCAAGGAGAACTTGTCTTGGAGGATCCCAAGGATCCTAAACACCATCAGAGCTGATGTGCCCTCCTTAAATGTTGCTGCTGAAATGGCCGCTGAGCACCAGACAACAAAATACAACTTGGAGAAAGCCTGTACGGGTGGTCCCATGGAAAGATATAGCCTGATAACACAGGGAAGGCCAAACTAGTGATTCAAAGTCCTGGTGAGTCATATATACTCCTTCCCACATCCTTCCTCCTGCAAGGGACAGAGGTGGAAATGAGACCCGGGACTGGGAGAGGACTCTAAGGTCCTGGTGGATGAGAGGCTGATTGCAGAGGTACCAGGTCTGGCTGATGGGAGCTCAGAATGGATCTGTGCCAGTTTACTCACTCTGGCTTTGGGTTATTGAAGTCCATTAAGAAAAAAAAAAGACATAATCAGTGCAATTATCTTGCACTT